TGAGCACGTAAAAACTTTTGCCAATAATTACCATAAATATGAAGAGATTGTTCTTGAACATCAAAATGAATCTAATAATAATATGTCAAAAATATTAAATAATGTTTGGCTTTACCAATAAACTATCAATTGGGAAAAACAGATATCAATTGTTTCTGAAGCTTTAAAAAAGCTTCAATCAAAAAACATTTCAATTTCAGAAGCTGTTGAAATATAAATTGACTTACTATCGTGTGATGAATTAGAACCCCATAAACATTTTGTAAAAAGATTCAATCAGGCTGTTCAGCCAAATCATTTATTAGCATATGCATCCCGAAACAAAGGGACAATTTTTAAATGATGAACAAGACCAATTAGCAGAAAACTGTCTTTCTAAGCATCATCCAGAATTTCTGCCACGTGTTATGGCATTCAAAATTTCCGATCCTGAATACTTTTCAAAATCGATGATGCGTGACACTGTTATTCAACAGTTTTCATCAAAAAATAGTGGAAAATTATGGCAAAAAAAAAAAATAAATAAATAAAAATCCTAGCTTCCACAAAATTTCTGTCAATTCTTTTTTCTTTGCACTCAGCACCAGCATCCTCTGTCTCTATCGAAAGACACTTTCCAACTTTCGGTTTGGTGCAGAGTAAACTTTGAAATAGATTAGGAATAGATAAAGCTACAAAACTCGTAAAAGTGTATAACCATCTAAGAAAGAAATGTAGACACTTTGAATCTGTTGTATGATAATAATAATAAAGGAAAAAAATGGACTTTTTTTTAAAGTTAACTCTTAACTTCTGCTGACAATTTTTAACTATTTGGAGAAAGTTTATCACAATTAAAAAGCAGTTAAAAATTAAAATATTACTTTTAAGATTTTTTAAAAATATTATTTTTAAGATTTCATTTGAATACAATTTATTTTGTTTCTTTTAATCATGCTTAAAAATATTGAAAGCAAACAAAAAAAAAATTCTATTCAGTGATACATTAAACAACAATAAACAAATTTAAATTTTTATTTTCTGATTTTAAAAAAGCAATCTATAACTTTTTATATATATGCTTTTTTTATAATTTTAAGATTACTTTGTTTTTTAAACTATAAAGTTAAAATGTATCTAAAACTGCATATATTTATCTAAATATTTGAAAAAAGGGACAAGTGACTGATACTCTTTATAATTATACGTAATTTTAATTTCACTTTCCATTAATCGTATTATAAAAACATGGAAGACCATTAAATATTTATTCAGTTTAATTTTATTACAGGTAAAAGTCAGATGAAATTTTAGTGTTTACTTATACAACACTATGTAATAAATAAAAATATTTTCCCAATAAAATTTATGAGCACTGAATGCTGCTTCCCTGGGTTTTTTCAATAAAACCCAGGCGGGTTGGTTTTTTTTCTAAAATCCCTGGTTTTTTTCAAACCCTGATTCCACCGCTTTTGTTATGCTTACGAGGCAATGTATGAACAGGCTTAATATTCAAGGAAGTTTTACCATTGCAATTTGCGATTAAATTACTATTGTAATTATGCGTCATTTTACCATTTATAAGAGTTTCCTTTACAAATTGTAACTGATTGTGAGCCTCAAACAAATTTAAGAAAATTAATATCAAAACATAAATAAAGTGTAAGGTATGTCATGGATTGAGTGTTATCCCTTATTTGGCTATATATTTGTGTGAAATAACACTGTTTGATATTTTTTGGGTTGCATCATAGCATGCTTGCAAAGTATTACAAATTAATTTGTTGCTTGTTTCGTTGAAATTTAAATTGAAAGAAGGTGCTATAGTGTAAACACTATTAGTATAATAATATTGGATGGCGTGCATTTTCAAATTAAGACGAAAAAATCAATTGGAAGTGATAACCCGGAAGTCATACGATGAATTTTAACACCTAGCGCCATCTGTGCATACCTTTACACGGTCAATGACCCTTAAATTGTATACCCAACAATATTTTTTTATCAGAATCGTCACTAATCTACTTTTTAAAACTTTAAGAGATGAAAAAAAAAGTTTAAAATTTCTTTTAACACTATAAATCACATACAGGTGACATTTTTAAAACCCCTTTAAGAATTATTTGTAGAACCACCCAGTATAGACGATAATATGGTATACAGTATATTTAGTACACTATATACCCTATTATAGTACACTGCACTACCAAATATAATAATACATACGTGGGGGAGTTCCAGAAGGTTGTGGACCAGAAGGAAAGTTAGAATTTCCAGATGAAGGTGGATGAGGAGGTGCATGAGGGGGATTGTTGCTTGGAGGAGCCCCACCAGGTGGAAGAGATTGATCTAATTAAACAGAACAATATTCATTAGTAAAAACAAAAAGGACTTTCTAAAATGCAAAAATGAAGAATTTAAAGGTAAATTTATCTAGGTGTAGATTTTCTGTCCCCCCCCCCCAGCGGTTAACGTGATACATTTGCACATAGTACTTAGAATCCCGATATTTTAATGCAATGCTGTTACAACTTGAAAAATTCAAAAACTTGGAGGAAAATGCTAATTTTTTAAACTGCTTGCTGTTTGTAATTTATTTTGTAGCTCAAGAGATTCCTTTTCTACAAGAAAAAATGAAAAAGAAAACATTTTCTAATTAAAATTCATAAAATCTCTTTATTCAAGATATAGAAATAATACTGAAGTATTTAATTTTCTACAAATATATAACTAAGTTTTTTTTGTAACATTCAGTGCTTAGAACATTTAACATAACATTAGAACATATAACATTATAACATTTAGTGCTATCATATTTGCCACCATCATGACTAAATATGAGTGTATTATTACAGTATTAGTCAACCTGCTGTACAAATGGCTCTTCACTCAAAAAGGTTGTGTACCCCTATTTGTAATAACTCAAGCTGTGCAAAAATATTGTATCTGGTAACTTTTTTAGGTTTTTATGTTCTTATTTCCAGAATAACTTATTTATTTCACTTAAGTTTCTTTAAGTTACTAGCTACAATGAATATGGAATTTCAAATCAAAAAGAATTATATTTGAACTAACAAGGCTTTTAATTAGAGCTGATCAAACAACACTCGCATCAAGGAAAAGCAATGGTATAATTTATTACTCAGAATTACTTCAATTTCCTCCTCAATTTTCTCAGATATTAATAAAAGAAGAAAAATTAATAATTTTAAGTTTCACTTAAATTTTGCTTACATAAATCTGCTGATGTGCTATTTTTTTGTGTTGGAAATTTCTGCGCAGAAGACGTTTTATTTATTTATTTTTTTTGCATCCCCTCTTGTTTTGGCATAGTTGACGCATTATAGCTCATATGCGGAATCCTGATACATAGTAAAATATTATACAGTACAAAATCAACCATACAAATATAAACAAACCTTAAACAAATGCTTTAACATTAATGGCTTATTTCGAAGTTTTCATTAAAAACAATGAAAATTTTAATTAAAAGTTAAGGAATTGCATAAAAAAATTTATAATGAATGTTAAAATGAAGTTTCAGACTAATTTATTTTGAAAATACAGGCCATTTAAACATTGTCAGGGCTGGAAGTCCAAAATATAGAAATTAAAGATAAAATTGCATCCAAACTTAAGGATGATTTTCTAATGGGAGCAATTTGTACAACACCAACATGAATTCACAGCTACACAGTAGGTAATAGCCTTAGTAGTTCCTGTACTTAAGTGAAAAAAGAAACATTTTTAAAAGAACTTCAAAAAATTATGCAAAAATTGCTGCTTTTTTTTCCCTTCAAAAAAGAGAAAATTATTTAAGTATGGAAAATCGTTAAGCAGTAGCAAAATACGAGGATTCTCTTGAGAAAAACAGTAGTGATGAGGAGGGAGTAGAGGGATAAGAGCTTTTTATATTTCTCACACGTCGAATGCTTTTATGCAATCAAATTAAGTAATTGTCTCTAATATAAGAAGTAGATTAATATTGCACTTGAGCCGCTGCGAAGATTTTGTCGTTTATTTTGCTATTTACTTTGTTCCATGGCATATAGCATACAACATAATTTTTGAATTTCTTCAATTTTTTTTGTTGATAAATATTACCTTTTCTTCCTGTTAATTTTAACAAAAATTTGGAAAAATCACGAAAAATTTCAGGAGATTTATTAAAATGTTTGAAAATTAAGGACACATAAAGACACTTTTTTTAAAAAAAAAAAAAAAAAAAAAAAGAATTCAAAGACAACTTTGAGCCATGCGATATTTTTTTGGTGAGTGTTAATTACATTCCCATATCATTTACCATGGATAATACAGAACACAAAAAAATGACTTACGAGGTTGAGCCACAGGAGGCTGTTGAGCTGAACTAAATGCATTTGGCATAGCATTAGGCACCTGTCCATGCTGCTGATTTGCATTCATATTTTGTCCACAAGGAGGCATGGGTTGATCTGCATTTTAAATAGAACTCATTATATATAACAGAAATAATGCAAATATCAAAATAAAGTTCACTCAAAAAATCTTGCAAGAAGGAAATTTTTTTTCTGAATGAATACTTGATGCAATATTTTTTTTTTAGGTTGAGTTAAAAAAATAATAAAAGATAGATTGAATATTTACTTTGATTCATGTTGCCTCCAGGTTGTTGGTTTTGATGACCTGGGAAGGGAGCTTCATTATTCTGCACTGGTTGACTGGGAGGACCATGCATTTGTCCTGGATGCCCTGGAGGTGGCTAAAAGAGAGAGTAAATTACACATAAGAATAGATAGCAATGGGTGATGCAAATACATTTACAGAATATTTTTCATTTAGAATTATCTAATTTTTACAATTATAGTTTCTGCATGCTGAGTTCTCCCTAAGTGCTTTTAGAAAGGCACTCCATCTTGCCTGCCCTTTGATTCCTATAAATCCTCTCATCCCTTAAAAAAATTACCTATTTATTCATATTCCATATTTTTTAAAAACTAATTCACTTTTTAAATAATAATTACACGCTGGCAAAATTATCTGTGGTTTATAGGCTTAATTCTGATTACTATTACAAATATCTACTTTGTTAGGATTATTCTCAACTTATTAAATTTTTATAAGTACCTCTTTTTTATAAGTATTTCATTTTTAGTGGTTCACATATACAATTTTAGAATATAAACTTAAATCTGCATTTCATATTTAAGTTTATGTTATTTTGTTTTTCTATGAGGAGAGAAGATTAAGTTTTGAAATAACTTGTTGGAAAGGAGAAAAAATAAAATTTTGCTGCTTTTTTTTAAAAAAAAAATTTCTTGTTTTTATCAAATTGATTTTGTCCTTTATTGTTTTTAAAAATATTTAAGAAAAAGTAAAAACACAACAATAAATTTAAAAAAGCATTATAATAAAATTAATTGTAATGATAGGTATAATCAAGACTATTTTATCTTCATATTTATAGATATTAAATTTGAAAAACAGAGTGAAGAAAGAGTTGAAGCAATAAAATATCTTTAAAAAAAATACAAAAGCAAATCATTTTTTTTCCTGCAGAATTATAATCTTAAGATACTTTTCTTGTTCATTGGAAAGGAAAGAAATAATCCTGATTTTTCAGTTCTCATTTCGAAATTTTAAAAAAGATTCGCCAATGAAAGGCTTGCTTCAGCTAGAATTTTAAAAGATAATTTGCTCTAAAAATTATGTTTTTTTCTCTCATTTTTTGAAAGAACTCCAAAATTTTCAAAGAACATGATAAAAACGTTTTATATTTTAATAAAATATGGCTGTGAGTGGGGATTTTGATAGAAATTTAGATATTCCGAACACCATGAAGAAAAAAAATATTTTTTTTTGGGGGGNAAAAAGGGGGGGGGGGATTCCATTTTAAAAATTAGAATTTTTAGCGACCTAAATCCATGACTTTCCATGATTTTTTTTAAAAAAAAATAGTTAAAATCATGGCATTTCATAACAAATTTCGTTCAATACCGAAATTCATGACTTTCCATGATTTTTCAGGTGCACAGGTACCCTGATCTTAGTAACTCAGCTTTAGAAAATACACCAACAATACAATAAAAAGCAGATTACAAAACATTTTTTCCAATTAAAAACTATTCTATTTAAAGACTTGGCTAAAAAATATCATGCATCATTAACTAAAAACAAAGCTAAAATTTTGAATAAATTCAGAAAGTTACTTGTTCTTTCATCTCAGCCAAGCAATTAACTGAATTATTAACTACCAAACATCAGAGTTGAGAGTATTAAAATCAGTTGATTTAAATCAACTGATGAAAGACAACAAAACATTATTTTTTAAATCAACTTACAAAAAGCAAAAGTACTTAACAAAACGAAATATTTCATTTGGTTTTTAAAATGTAATTTAATTCTTAACGTAAACTTAAATATGGGATATAAGAAAGTGCATATGCAACAAATTCATTAAATCTCTTTGCTAACTGGTATCCTTGTTACAGAAGACATTGAAAACATTTTATATTAATCTTAGACGAGCAACAGATATTTTTCTTACATTCATAACTAAAATTAAGAGTTCAAAAAATATGAATTTATATTTCAAAAGCAATTAAAAATATTACAAAATTTAATAGACAAAACAAGTTTTTATACTTAATAGCAATATGTAACAGGGCTCGAAATTAACGGTGGCCTGTTGGTCCGTGACCACTAAAATCGGAGTCAGACCAGCATAAAATAATAAACAGTGGTCCGCCGGACCACCATCCGCCGCAGCCGATCTCCGTTAAAAAAAAAAAAAGCTAGCGTGCGAGATCTCCGTAAAAAAAATAAATAAAGCTAATGCACGATCCTGAGGAAGGCGAAGTTAAATCTTGTTTCGCGCACGTGTCACATGGAGAGTCGCTGAAGGAGAGAAATAGGGGAGGTAGCGGGGTGGGTTCATGACGTGCACCATCCGTCGCAGCCTAGGGTCAATTCGCAGCCGATCTCCGTAAAAAAAAAGGAAGCAAGCGCGGGTGAGGAAGGCGAAGTTAAATCTTGTTTTGCGCATGCGTTACATCGGGGTTGAAGGAGAGAAATAGGGGTTGGTTCATGACGTCATTGTCAATCGACGACGCGGCCCGATGATTCGTTATTTCGGGCTCTCTCTTCGTTCCCGATCGTCAGAGGTTTTTCCGCTTCACAACTTTTTTGTTTAAAATTTTTTATACAAAATTAATATTAATCAAAAAAATGCGATTTAAATCAAAAATTTATGATTTTTAAAAAAAAAATCGTGATTTTTTCAATCAAAAATTTTAATTTTATTTGCAGCTAATAGGAACGCGTAGACGGACCAGTAAAGTTTTGTGCGGACTGGTAAAATGTTTTAGTTACTGGTCCTATGAACCAGTAATTTTTAAAAAAAATTTCTACCCTTGTGCAATTTTTTTGCCTTAAGAAATTCTTATTATTCCTTCCAATATGCATTTTTTTATGTCTAGTCTGTCTATTGATATGAGTTTAAACAATTTCAAGTTCTAAATTCAAAAAATTAGCCTTTATAATTTAGTTTTTCTGTTTAGTTGACCTTACAAAATTTTTATTCTTAACTTATAAATATTTTAAATAATTGTTATTTGCATCGATTAATTTTTGAAAAAGATTATTTAAATTAAATAAAAAAAATTCCCCCCTCAAAAAAATAAATTAAATCAAAACTCTGAAAAAGAATTAAAAGAAAGCTCTGATCTCCATGAAATAAAATTATGCTTAACATTGGTAGAAACCTGGATGTATCCCGAGCTGGTAGTTAAAGGATTAAAATCTATAAATTTTATGAAACTTCTTAATTTAAAGTAATATCATCAGCATAAATATCTTAGTATAACATTAAAATTTGTCAGACATACTTACAGGAAGAACACTAGGAACTGCATCAGCAATAGAGGCCAAAAATACCAAATTACGATGCAAAGCCTGTTGAAAGCTGTTGAAGAAACTTTATTAGTCAAATATGATATCAAATGCTTAACATATTCTCAGTTACTTTCACAGTTACTTAGTTACTTCTTTCATCTTAATTGTAATTTGGCTTATAAAATAATTCAATCATAAAAATATTTCAATAAAGTTACTTATCCAACAGAATGCAAATATTAATCAAACTTTAATATCACAATCTCGTAAGGCAGCATATGAAATTTCATTTCTAAAGGTACTAGCCACTAGCCAAATTTTCATTAAAATACGAACAATTTTTAAAATGCTAACAAAACAAATGTGGTATGTAGAACTTAATTAAAAAAATAAAAGACATACTAAAATGTGGAAAGTGAACAATTGAAACATGTTTATTGCAAAGTAATATTGCTATAAAACAAGGTTGCATTTAACTTTCAACAACTCAAATATCATCTATGCGTCATCAAATGTCTTTAAAATAAGAGAAATATCAAAAAAGTTTTCTTACATTAAATACCTATGCTTGCATTTGGTTCTTAAATGTAATTTGTTAATTGCAGTCAGGGTTGTTCGGATTTTATCCACCCCCCCCCCAAAAAAAATAGAAACGCAGGTAGGTTCTTTTGAAAAGAACTCAAGAGAGTTTTTTCACAAGTGTATATTTTATATTGACAAATCAACTTTAGATATAAATTTGCAATAAAATAAAATATAAACTATACATGTTAAAATATTATATTTTAATTACTTCTATATTCTATGTTCTAAAATTTTTAATTAACTTTATTAAAAACACACATTATTAAAAAATAACAAAAAATGTAGGAAGATATTCTCCCAAAAAATTGAGATATTAACAACACAACGCAATTGAAACTAATGTTATAACAAGGTACAGTAAGTAAAAGTTTTAGAATTACATTTTAATAAAATGGGAAAATAACTTATTCATAAAAATATATTTTAAATACTATGTTCTTGATCTGCAAGTCTATTACAATCAAATAATTCAGTTTCAAATGATACTTTTAAAATAGAGAAATTTTGCACCATTTAACTGGAGAAATACTTGCCCTAAAACTCTTGTTCTGATGTATTCTTTGTTGTTGAAATACTAGAGCTTATTCAAAAAGCTCACTTTTACTGTACATAACATAGGACTCAATAACACAATAGCAAAAGTAATGCAATGCACCATTGCAAATATATGTTTTTCATGTTAAAATTAATTCGAAAATAATTTAAAGGAAATTCATTTGAAATGTCTTTTATTTGAATTGAAATAAATAATTTGTTTCTCCAATTAAACATTTAGTAGTTTTTCAAATTTCTAAAACAAATTAAGGAAATCCTACAGAGGTAATTGGACCCTATTAGAGTCATTAAAAATATTATTGCTAACATATCAATGACATTGATAATATAGTGTGTTAACTGGGGTTATTGATAGCTTAATTATAAATCAAATAAATAGCATTTATTTATGCAGCAAGAGTATAAGGAATAAGAAAAATGGAAAACTTAATTAAATTAAAAAAAACCTAAAATTTGAAAAGACCGAAAGGCCTGTTTTTTTTTAAACTTAAGTCACTAACTAGTATTTACATAGCAGGTAAATACATGAATATGAATTATAACATTTGAATATAGAACACTACATGGTAACTGAAGAACTAAAGTCAACACTATAGCTCAAAAATTGCTTTAAAAAAGTTTTAATCAAAGAAAAGGTAAGGTAAGAACACTACATGGTAACTGAAGAACTAAAGTCAACACTATAGCTCAAAAATTGCTTTAAAAAAGTTTTAATAAAAAAAAAGGTAAGGTAAACATCTTTCAAAAAAGAAAGAAAAATCTTAAAATCTTATGAGGAAATTTTTTTTTTAAAAAAATGGCGGGAAAACTTATCGAATTTCGTTCCGGTTTTTTGGTTTTCCGATTTCCGGATAACGGGTTCTGTACTGTATCAAATTAAAGTCTTAACAGTTTTGATTTGTCACTGGCTAAACCTGATGAACTGCAATATTGTGAATTATGAAAAACTTACTTCAAACATTCATTAGCTTTCCCTTTGTTTTGATAATCAACAATAGCTTGAATCAGTTGTGAATTTTCATCTAACATCTATGGAAATAAACGAAATTATTTACACAGAAATAGGGAGATTCCATTGATACTAGCATAACATTTGTAGACTTTGAAAACATAAAACTTATAAAAATTATCAAGCACTTTACTCCTGTGAGAATCACGAAATCTATAGCAGTAAATCGAACTCTTCAAAAAAGGGTTACTAAATTTGCATTTTTATTTCGAGATTCAGTTGTTGCAATAAATAATATCATATAAAAAATATCGGATTTTAAAACTATGTGGAAATCAATAGTAAAAACTGCATGAAAAAAATCAGAACGAAATTTTCTACAAAAAAGAAATCAAATTTTCTACTTCATTAATCTATATCTTTCATTGTTCTTAAATGCAGGGATGAGATTAGTCAAAAGGCAAAAAAGCTGAATTTCCATGATAGTAAATTTTACTCAAGCGCAACCCTTTAATAATAAATTCCAGGCAGTTTAAGGTAATAAATAATGTGTTGACATTCAATTGTGTACTAATCTATTATTATAAAAACGATTACATTGATACTTAACATTTAGTGAAAATAAATATTACCAATTAAAAAAATAAAGCTGGAAATTATATTTTTCCTCAGTTTACATAAGAGACAATTATTACTTGAAAAACTACCTGGTTTAGCAAATTAAAACTACTGAGAATATACATTAATATTTCATTTCTTTTAGTTAATACTGTTATGTGATTTATAGCAAATATATCAGTAATATTACTTTTTAAATTATATTGGGAAAAAAAACTTTAACAATGTACCGAATCATTATGTTCATGTTATAGTCTAATCTAACTACAGCCCTTTGAAACATATCAATAACAGTGAAGTAGAAATATATAGTAACT